GGTTATATAGAAAAAAATTGCTAGAATTTTAATAGCCATATGGTGTAGCGGAAATATTGCTGCTGAGAATTCACGTGACATCTCCCGAGGCTAGAGTTCAATCCTTATGCATCCACTTATTTTTATATATATTATAATAACAACAACAAATATTGGAATTCATTGGAATCTGTTGGAATCTGTTGGAATTTGAGTGGAATATATTAAATGTACTTTCCATTGGAATTCCATGGAATCTGGTTGGAATTCCAATGGATTCCAATGGAAACTGTTCCGGGAGGCTCCCGGATTCCAACCATTTCCACTGGATTCCATCGGATTCCATTGGAATTTCCATGGAATTGGAAACCAGAATCATGGAATTCCGACATTCCACTTGGAATCTGCCAGAATCCACCGGAACTCATGGGGGATGGTAAAGACCTCTCATTGTGAACCTCAGCCAACACCAACAGCCCTGGAGGTCTGGTTCCATGGGGCCAACTTCTCTTTGCCATTGTGAGAAGCGCAAGAACGGCGAGTGGTGGAAGGCTCAGAAATGGGCGTATAGTACCCTGGAGCGTTTATGTCATCGGTATGTGCACATCTTGGTTTGTTGCCAGTCGTGCTTGTTCAAGCGTGACCTTGATAGCTTCAGAAAACCATCTGAACTTCGAATTCCTAGCATAATGAGAATATGGAGCGTTTGTGAAACTCCTTGTTACGATGTTCGCTCCGGAGTTTCTCAACATCTATCTTCGCCAGGCAGAGCTTTGTGTGTCAAACCAGGCATAGCTTTCCAAGAAGTCTCAACATCAGATTTTCATGTTCTTTAATGAATGGTATGTACCCTCCTCTCTCTCGTTGAAGGTGGCTTCTGATGCCAGGCAATGTTAGCATGAAACCCAAGTCGACTTGGACCCTTCTCAAGCCCCATTTCGAAAACTTGGTTTCCACCTTTGTGTTTGCCCAACTTTCTTTCAACGATCACGCTACAAAGGAGGAGCTTTGGGAGAACGATCCTGTGGATTATATCCGCGTCTCAGTCAGTACTATATCCATGTCTCAGTCGGTACTATATCCGTGTCTCAGTCGGTATGTACCACTCTTATATGTGATTGAAGCCTGGAAGATGACTTTTTTTCACTAGACAAATACAAGGTGTACGCTATGCCCATATCAGCAGCCACGACCTTTTTATTCTCACTTATTGTGAGCCGAACTAAAGTGACGTTCATGCCTATCCTTGGGTTCATTAATACCATTCTTCGTTCGTGAGTCTTTTCCCTTTGGCTCCACGAAAATGTTGGAGAGGTGCCGAGTGACTCAGAGGGAACGCGTAGACACAGACGACATGGTGGTATGGACTCAAGAACCTACAAACACGACGTGACATGTAAATGTGTATGTAATGACCCTCTGACACCTATGCAAGACCCCGAACACCAGGGGGGATGGAGTATGCATCTGCCAGGATGCACTACTCCAATGTGTACAATTAACTGCTTGTCTTTCAGAAATCCAGCAGCACTCCAGAAGTCTGGAGCTTTGAACACAATCACTGTGTTGGGCCTGTACATCATGCATCACTCGGACATGAAGCGCAACGTGGAGCAATTCATGCTTTGGTTTTTCACATCAGAGCTTTCGAGCCCTGAACCCCGTCTTAGAGCTATCATAAGCCTCTCTCT